GATTCATGGTACCATGTCAGACAGGTTTTGCATGAAATCCAGTCACACGCCTTCACCTTATCCTCGACAGATTTTTCCATGATTCCACATTCTGGACAAACTGATTGGATAGGCCCAGTCTGTTTCACTCCTCTTTTTTGGTTTGTATTTAGTGCATATTTAGGCTTCTTTTCTTTCGTTTTGCTAGTCTTCTTGTTTTTTTCTGCTGCCGCAAGAGCTTTTTTCACTTTTTTAGCCTCCATTGCAGCTATCTTCTCTTCAGCCAAACGCTTTTTTGTTTCTAAGCCTTGCTTGTAAGGACTGGCAGTCAAAATAGCAGTTTTACCTTTCGATTTCGATGTTTTGCGAATGCTGCTCACTTCCACTTTTGGTAAAGGCGAAATTTGCAAAACACGGACTTTAGGTTTATGTTCAAGAGCGTTTCGACAACCAACAGCTGTTGGTGTATTTAAACCGACACCGTCAGCATCACAGGGTTTTTGCAGAACTGGCTCGACCAATCTTGGTGAAGATGAACTGTCACCAACTTGTGCCTCTATCAACTCTATTGTTGTCGGAGAAACTAAAGAATCAACATCACCGCCACCGGGTTGCTGTAGAACTGGCTCGACCAATGTAAGTAGAGAGGCGATGTCACCAACTTGTCCTTCTGTCAGCTCCATTGTTATCGGAGAAATAACCTGAAGAATTAACTGATCAACATCATCGAGTTGCTCCATGCCTGACTCGTGTGATGTGGGTTGAGATGCCCCTTCACCAATATGCCGAATTAGTGGTTGTGACTGCAACACTAGTATCTGAAGAATCTCAATAGGCATGCCAGTTTTCTCTATAATGAGTTCAACATATTCGCCTGTTGGTGAAACTTCACCAGCAACCAACTCTGTATTGCTGCCAGTTGCTTCATGTTCCAATCTTGGAATATCTGTAGGCAATGAAGCAGCAAAGTCTGCATCTTGAAAGACATCACGATTGATTGGCCATATACCAGTTTTTCTAAACCCATTGACTGCAGTCAGAGCACTGGCTGCACGAAGATAAGCCTCTCGGAAGAGCGCAGGTAATTGCAGAGTAGTCACTATTCTACCTGGGTGAACAAGTAACCACTTCTCAACTTCTTGAGTGTAATACGTACTGAGTGGTTTCATCAAGCTTACGTCTAATGGTTGTAGCCGATGGCTGCAATGAGATGGTAAACATAGGAGAGAAACACACTTTTCACGAGCAAGATTGATAACATCAAGATTTAAGGTGTGGGTTTTATGTCCATCAAGGATCAACAGTACTGGTGAATCGGCACACGAATGACTGTGATATACAAAATGTTCAAACCATTTCAGAAACAAATCAGTTTGCATCCAACCAGACGGATGGGCTACACCGATGGATCCTGGTGGTGCAGCATCAAGTAACTCAGGCTTCATTCGGCATCTCGGAAACACAAACATAGGAGGGATGAAATTACCTGATGCACTCATGCATATTTCCACTGTCACTAACTGACCACGTTCTGCCGAACTCAAGCTGCCAACTTGCTTCTTGCCCCGAGCTGCTATCACCTTGGAAGGTCTGTTCGGCACAGTTGTGAAACCAGTCTCGTCACAGTTGTATACCCTGTCTGGACTATAGTGGTGCTTTGTCTGTAACTCAGTGAGCAAATCAAAAAACTGGTCAACAACAACTTTGTTGAAGCCTTGTGCCCGTGCCGAAGAAGTTGGCTCTGGCATTCTTAAAGACAGGTCTGGATGTTGTCCTCTATACCAGTCCAGACCTGCTTCTTCTTTGACAGAACTGAATCTTTCATGGATATTGTTACTTTTCGCTAGTTGATATGCGAGTTTTCGTAAGCGCTTAGGTGTGAAACCAAAAAGCATACTTTCCATGGTTTTTATATGCTGAACAAGTTCCAGTTCAGTTTCCGTATCGAATACATTGCACCTTGAGCCGAGTCTTTTTGCAGCTGCTGCTCCACTTGCTAGACTTGACTTGTACCTCCGCTGAAGTGTTGAACGGGGTACGCTGAAAAGTTTACAGGCTTTCTTTAATCCCATTGTTTTTGTACGTAATGCTTCAATTGCTTTGACCATACCTGTCTCTGACCACGTTTGTCTTTCAGTTGTTCTTTTATACCGTCCCATTTTATTGAAGAAGCTGAAACAAAGCACAATACAATTACATAATGTGCTATTAATCTGTAATAATAGTAGATTATACATTAATTTGAAACATTCAAAGACATACACCCTTGATTAATAGTACCATTAATTTACTTTAAAACAACAAGAAAATCAAAAGAAATTATTTTAATAACACACCAAATTTATTTAAATAAGCACACTTTTAAACGACTTTTTTATGTTGATATATCCCATAATGCAGTTTAAACTTAGTTATATTTTACATAACAGATTCAGACAAATTTATAATTTGAAGACCTCTCATTAAACAATATTACATATGAAGTTCATAGTATGAACTAGATAGGTTTGTAGTTGTTCAAAACGGTAACTAAGGCGTTGCTAAGGAACTATTTGATAATATACCTAGGTAAAAAGTTAAATATCACAAAATATACAAAACAAAATGTAGAATTTTTTTCAAAAAACTAAAAAATAATAATATTTTCTATCAGAAAAGATGAAAATAATTTTTCTTAAAAAAAATAATTTATTCACATTTATTTTGTGATGAACCACCTTAAGAAGTCAATGCCTGCATCAGCTGTCTAAAACGGGCCCTTTGGTCTAAAATGGGCCCATAGCGGGCCCGTTTTAGACACTGATAAGGCCATTACAAAATCCTCATGTTGTAACGTTCCGATAAAAAACACATGAAATCGCTCATTTCCTGAGTAATCGTAACAAAAAAACAAAAGCAATAGTGCCCTACCTTGTAACTCGATATGACGATATGACTTGTAGGTCTGTGATTTCGTAACGTCAAATAAAACAAGAGAAATTGATATAATTGATTCGACACGTTTTTACAAGACCCTGTCAATTATTAACGCAATGTAAACAATCATGCATATTCATTAAACTAAGCTGGTTCTATTTGCATTCAGAGTCATCGAAAAAATCCGCTTGGTGTCGTGCCAATCGTGGGGCCCGTTTTAACCGAGGGGCCCGTTATAGACCAATCTCCCCTAGATGTGTTAATTTCAAACATAAATCACTTGCACAAATGTGATTTGTACCAGTTTGAACTCATATTATACAAAAAAGTAACGATAGTAAACTTTTATGTGTACTATTCTTTTCTTTTTTTTTTTTTTTTTGTCGAATACTGGAAAACATTATAATTATAAGAGCGTGCGGTTAAAAAAGATGTCATCGACATCTTTTCTATCCCCACACCCTTATCAGTGCTTTGATTTTAAATGTTTGTAAACTCATCTTTTAGTTCTGTGCATAGAAAAAAATTTAGTTTCACTACATTTGTAATGCGTTATCAAAAATGGTTAAAATGCGTCATCAAATTTGGTCTAAGTGGTTATCTAAAATCAGTTATAAAAATTATTCCTAAGAATTAAGGGTATTTACGGAATTTTTCGCTCCAAATTATCGTATGTTTTTATTTTTATGTTTTCAAGCCAAACTTTTTTCATATATAAAGATTTTCAGAAACTACACATTTAAAGTAGTTAGCGGAAAAAAAAATTATGTAAACAAAGCATTTTGACTAAAAAAAAATCAAAAAAATATTAAAGGACGTATTTTATTGTTGGTACAACTTGGATATTCGTATTAAATAAAAAAGAAATTTTTAGAAAAAAAATCAATTACAGTTTTATTAACCACCATTAGTAGAGTTGAAAATAACGTGGCGAGAATTAAAAGAATAGATGATTTATATGCCAAAAAAGCTGAACCTTTGTATAGACAATTAAAGCTAAATTTACGTCAAATTTTAAAAAAGATAAAAATACTTATTAATAAATAGACAAACCACCAATTGTTTCTGAGTTATTTAGAAAAGTTTAAGATATGAAGAAAGTCAATTAAATGTTACATTGATAAAATGTTTAATTTTATCAAAAGTTTCAAAAGGATGTTTACGTGCATTATCACCTGGAGCAATCAAGAGAATGTTTACAAATGCAAAAAAAATTTACGGATTTATTAAGAAAAACTAGAAAAAAGTCATTACAACTGATGAAAAACTATTCTATGATACTGATTGTGACCAAAAATCCAAACATATTTACATAGATAAATATCAAAAAACACTGTGAGTACCGTATTTTAAAAAGAAAAATTTTCTATAATCTATTATGGTATGGATTACAGGGTTTATTAATAATATTGAAAGATATATGGAGGAACATTCTTCAAGAACTTATAAATTAAGCATTGACGTCCAGGTCTAAACATTGTAAACAATATATGTATATATTATATATATATATATATATATATATATATATATATATATATATATATATATATATATATATATATATATATATATATATATATATATATATATATATATATATATATATATATATATATATATATATATATGTATATATACATATATATATATATTATAAAATATTTATTTCATTTTTGTGTTCATATTTGTTTATATTTAGATAAGAAAGCACTTAAAGGTGTAAGAGTCAAAATGTTAGTTTAATAATTATAGTGAATCATAAAGTTCATCATTTATATTTAGAACAAAAAAAATATATATATATTTTTTTAATTTTATAAAACTTTTTATACTTTTAAAATATATTTTATTATAGTCTATCAAAATAGATTTTCTGCATAAAAAAAAAAAAATAAGGAATCTAAGATAGGTATTGTATTTTGGTTTTTAAGAATTTTTTACTTAAGCCTAAAGAAAAAAAACATATTTTTTTAAAAATGATGAAAAGTATTTCATTGATTATATATTTATGTTTTTTAGTGATAACAATGAACAAAATAGGTAAAAATTCCCAAGTAGCAAACAATATTGGCGTAATATTGGCACGATATTGGGTATCTTGG